GCACAAAGACAACACACTTATAACAACGGTTAAGTAAAAACCGTTGTCTTTGACAAAAGTGTTGCATCAAAGACAACGGTTTTGGACCAAACTGTTGTCTTTTATATAAAAGACAACACTTTTCTTAAAAACTGTTGTCTTTCTAGTGTTGTCTATGTGCATTTTTCTTGTAGTGACAATTTTCTAAAATCATGATGCGTGATCAAATGAATTATTATTTTTTTGTTGGATATGATATGAGAGGTATATATTGTTGGTGCTACTAATAATATGTTTAAAAAAACAAAACAAAACTAGTAATTAAGCAAAAATTAAGCTACTCGAGCAACCTAGAGTAGGTAACAAAATTCGAAACCCTCAAGCCATCAAAGCTTAGCGTAGTTGGTTCGTCGCCTGACTTAAAAGTTATGATTGGAGGCAAAAGGTCTGGATTGGGTGCACATAAAGACGAGATCTTACCGCTGTGCTAATTGTATAACTCGTGATTTACATTCACAGTGGCTCTAGTGGTGGGGTCTTGTAAGCTTAGGATTAGTCGACGAAACTAGAATAACTTAAGTTAAAAATGTGCTTTGTTGTATTTACCTGACCCAATAAAAAGTTTATTGAATGTACACAATAATTAGTTTGTTATCATCCTTAATTATAAAACAACAATACTAGATGTCCCTACAAAAATCACTCATTTTTTGCCCTGGAAAGCAATTTCTAACATAATAAGAAAAACGGTACCCTAAAATAACCCAATATCTGCTAGCTACACTTTCCATAATAAGAAAATCGATACCCTAAGTTTCATATTCTACTGGTTTGGGGCCAACCACTTGTGTCGAGGTTGAACACTATACCAATTGTATCCATCCTATCATCTAGTCCCTGACTTTCTTGTATCCATCCTATCATCTAGTCCCTGACTTTCTTGTGGATAGCAAAGTTGATGGTGTAAGAAAGTAGAAAAAAAGTACTAGTTGACCACTTTTGAAGGCCTTCCTATCACATTTTAAGGAACTATAAAACAATAGCGAACACCAACCACTTTCTCAAGGGGACGTGTAGGGAAGTTTCGTGACGACTCCTTTTTCAATGGGGCATGAAAGGAAGCTTTGTGCCAATCCCTTATTTAAAAATTATGATCACTTTTCTAAATGGGGCGTGAAAGGCAGCCTAGGGGCCAAGGCCGAGCGTGAGGCTCAACTTGGTGCACGTGGCCAAGGTCTAGGCCGTGGTCGACCTTAGCAGCTTGGGGTCCAAGACCCAAGCCGAGGTCGAGCCTGGGGCTCGGCCTTGGTGCCCCGTGGCCTAGCACGGGGCCGCTATGCATTGGCAGCCTATAGGGGCCAAGGCCCAGGCCCAGGCCAAGCGCGGGGCTCGGCCTTAGCAGTCTGGGGCCTAGGCCCAGGCCCAGATCGAGCGTGGGGCTCAGATTAGGCGGCTTGGAGTTGATCCATGGGTATGGTTTTGGCCGCTGAGGCCGAGCACGAGACTCGTCCCCGAGGCCTAGGTCTAACTGGACTTGTCTTATTCCGCTCCATCAAATTGATTTGTTATGGATCCATTTCTAATTTATCCATGAGGTTGTATCCAACCCATCCATCACTACTTAAAAGTTTAAGCATAGCCTAATAATATATGACCGAAGAAGTCCATTCACATTTCACTCTTCATCAATTGTGTACTTATGGAAAACAACAAGCAGGTAGCTTTAATATATAGAGAGAGAGAGAGCTGAAGATCTCTCTCTAATCTCTATCATATACATCGCTCTCTCTCTCTCTCTCAAGAGAAGAAAAGAAAATGTGAAATAGTGTTGTCTCTCTCCTTCACCCTGGCAGCTCTGTCTGTCTTGAAGGCATTGGCCATTGTCTCTGCCCACCTGCAAACTTGTGTCTTTGTTTGTTTCTTTCTCTCTTTATTATTATACAACCAGGGAATAACTTCTGAGTACTAGAAAATAAAATCATCATTATTATCCTCCTGCTGTCCTCTACTGTATGTGCTTTCTCTGTTGTGATACTTTTGAACCATCCTCCAATTCCTAGCTACACCTTTTGTCTTCTAACTCCTTTATCTTCCTGTCTACGACCCAATTCATTCTACCCTAAACTACCCTTTATTTGCTTTAAGGACAAGTGTACTATCAATTTTTTTTTTCCCCTTTTAATCATATTATATCTTCTTTTTATGTAATTTGTAAACATGTAAATCTTATAGGTTAACACTAAGTATTACAAAAAAAAAAAAAATTAACTTGAGTCAAATTTCTTTAATTAAATTCGATACATAAAATGATACAAAGAGAATATTTAATAATATGGTTCAATATCTAATTTTCATAAGTTTTGCGAGGATAACTTGTAAAATTATTCTTATTTTAAGATAAATATTGATTGAAATAGTTGATCCATGGAATTAGGAAGAGTCTAACTCATGCAATTAAAGCGACATTACAATTGACTCGCATGTACATGTCTTGATCATTTTTAGTGCCTACAAAGCCATTTCAAAACAACGTTACGTCCATATGTTTATGCAAATCAAATTAAGCACAATGTACTTTATAAAGAAAATTAACAATAGTGTACTTAAAAAAAAAAAGAAGAAAGAAATATTTATTTAGTCAGCAATACTACACCAACGACGACAATACATCGTGGAAGTTGAGTTTTTTCAGTGGATCACAAGGTCCTTTGTGAAAACAAACAACAGTTAGCCACTGGGGTAAAAGTTGAGAATTTTAGTCAAAAGATATGCCATAACTAGTATGATTACTGAGAGGAGTGCTAAACTACCTAAGGGCAAAATTAGTTAAAGAAAAAAAAAAAGACATCATTAACTAAGTTGATTTTCAGTTGTACTAGTTAATTTGCGGTACAAGCAAAATTAAAACAAATAAAAAAGTAACCCACAAGTTATAGTGATGTAGTCAATTAAGATGTTGAAGTATTAAGACCAAGATTGAGATAACATGTAAAATTGTAATAATCGAACAATCGTAATAAGCTTATTTTAATTTAATTGTTGTTTGCAAAGAATGCAATCATATTATCAGCTACCAGTTCTAAATCTCATATTACCTGTGTAAATACATCAAGTCATAATAAGAAGCGAGTATTTGGACAACTTGGTGGGTTTCTTTCTACATCAAGTAGCGCATTCAGTAATTGTACGAATACTCTAAAAACCTTAATCGTACTAAATTATCAAGTACAACAATATCAAGGCTGACATTGACTCCTTCCGACCCAAGACTAGCATTTAAATTTCAAAGAAAGCAGTTTTCACTTATGCTATCATATGCAATGACAATCAACAAAAGTCAAGGTCAAACACTTTCACATGTTGGTTTGTTATTAAAAAAACCAGTTTTTAACCATGGCCAATTGTATGTAGCAATTTCTAGGGTGAGTAATCCTGACGGTCTTAAAGTCTTAATTTGTGGGGAATCTAGAAATCATTTAAACAATACTCAAAATGTAGTTTAAAAAGAGATCTTTAATAATTTATAATTGTTTTGTTTATAGAACGCCAATAAATTATATTTTGTTCATTTATTACATCTTCAACCTTATCGGTCCTATATCTTCAATATAACAAACTTTTATATCTTGCACCATAATAATATTGCCGTGCATCGCACGGGTACAAATACTAGTTATAACAAAATTCATAAGTTTAGACAAATTTTTAAGATTAACCTAAGGGCAAATTAGTCATTAACAAAAATAGGCCACTTTTGAGAACTTAGAAACGGTTTGATATTTTAGAATCAATTAAATTTCTAATAAAATAATTCACTGAAATATGCTTTCAGAGAACATTTATTTCGAAAAAAAAGTAGTTAATATGTTTGACCTGGCCTTATCTTGAAAACATAACAATAAAATTATTTCAAACGGTTTGCAAAATATTGTTAATCTCCAATAAACCTTTCCTACCTGTAAACAACAAAGAGCAATAAAGGACAAAAAGAAAAATGTAATTAAAAAAAATAGATAAAAAAAGATATTTCAGCCACCCTTGGCTTAGAGAGTTTGAGCTTTTGAATAACTTTTCATCTATCAATAAATCACATATTCAATGGATCCAAACTTTCCTTAAAAATGACAAAGAAAATATCACATTTCAAAAATACCATTCTTATAAAAAAAAAATACTATCAAATATGTTCATTTTTACAAATAGAGTAATACTATATACTCCTTTACATCACCTATACTTTTTTTTTTCTTGACTTGACATCATCTTATTAGTTTGATACTTTGATTAATCAGGGTCAGTAGTACTCAAAAAATTATTATTATTATTATTATTATTATTATTATTATTATGTAATTAGTTGTAGGATTAATGAATACCCAAGAAATGAAAATTACATCAGCAGGAAAAATATGGAATGAATAGTCACAACAATACTAGGACCAAATGTGAATGTTCTGATTAAAAAATTGACTAAAAGTGAGCTATCACCAACGAATTTAGAACAAAAAATGAAATTAACTTTGTTTATAAATTAATCTTTCCATAAAAGAGTATCATATATAGTAATATTGTAAATTGTAAGAGTATGTAATATCCATACTTCTGGGTGAAAGAGGATAATTACAAGCCTAGCACTATAAAGTTGATTATTATTATTATTATATTTAAGAATTGGAAGAGAGATAGATGGAGTGTAGTGTGTAATAATCTATTCAACTTTCTAACTTTATGGGAGAAATTGACTGGAGAGTGAGTTGGGAATGGATATGTAAACTTTACTCTTTTTCCTTTTCCTTGAGTTTTGCAAAAAGACAGAGATTACTTTACTCCCAAACAAATTACAAGTAACATAAAGTCAGTTTGCTTTTCCCTGAAAATAATGTAAGCCAAACAATAATTAAATAACAATAAGGAATGATAGATAAAGTTTGGGGTTTGGGTTTGGCATAGGCTGCCAGGAAATAATCGACACAACAAATTCCCAGAAAATGATAAAGCGGATGAAATGAAGGATTTTGCAGTTTTAAGAAAAGAGAAAGAGAGACTTGCTTAAAACAGGAACTGTGTTTGTACATGGCTAAATTTGGTCTCTCTAATCAACAACAGTTAAAAATCTAAATTGTGACAGGCGATCCGAGGAGGGATTACAGAACAGAACCACATTAATAATAATAATAATGATGGGGTTAAGCTAGGTACGATGAACTTAATTAACATCTACCACTAAGAAAAGATCACAAAAACAGTTGTCTTTTTTTTTTGGTTCTAGATACCCAATAATGAAAGATATCATTCCATCATCAATCCCAGAGCTTAGCTTAGATTGGTCTCTTCAATCCTGTTTGTTGCTCCATTGCTTTTGGCCGGGGACCCATTTCGGGCACTTTGGGCTGAAGTAGCTCCGCACAACCCTGGAGTTCAAGAGCTCAACAATGGGGGCAAATTTGACGCAGCGGGGGGTCTTGTACTGGTTGATCGACGCGCCGAGGCTGATGGCGTAGTCCATCAGCTTGTCAAAGGTGCCGGGCTCCACAATCTTGATCTCCAGAGCTCCGATGGACTTGTCGGAGACGCGGCCCTGGCGGTAGACGCTGTTCAGGGATTCCTCGACGGTTAGGCAGCAGTCCTCGAACACCGACGGTGGGACTGGCGGGGTGGAGCCGCCGCCGCTCACGCTCAGCTCCCAGAACAGCACGTAATGGCCCGGAGCTGTGGCCGTGTCGGCGTAGCTGGTGTACTCCGTGAGACGCGCGTCGAATGGGATCAGATGAGTCACGGCGTTTTTCACCGCGTTTTGCAGCTCAACCTCGTCTGTCTTGTCGGAGTCGATGCTTAGGACCACGTTTTTCCGGCAGACGAAGGTGAACTGTGGGGACTTGTTCTTGAACCCGGCCACCCTCAACACATCCCCAACCCGGTACCTATATAGTCCTGTCGCCATTTATACCATGTAAGAACTGTAAGCTTGATGTTTATTCAAAGAAGAAAAGGTAGTTAAAACTGAACAGAACACTATAATTACCAGTATAAGTGGTGACAACGAGCTCGTACTCTTGCCCGAGCTTGACATCGGTTAAATCAACGAGTTCTTGCGGCTCCTTCTCATTGTTGCGGTGAACGGGCAAGAACTCGAAATAGGCCATGGTGGGGATGAGGGTATAGGAGACGTCGCTGGGCTTGCAGAGGGGGTTGAGATTAACGCCGAAATAACACTCCGACGAAGCATACATTGCGCAGACAAGAGGGAGGCCATTACTGTAATAATCAAGCGTGGGTATATACTGCGACATCGTCCCCGTCACAATAACATCCACATACTTAGTGTTGGGCCAAATCCGCGTAATGATCCCTTTCCAGCACTCTTTCTTACACTCCCCCTGCACAAAATCCGCCAGCTCCGGGTCCGGTTTAAGGATCTTCATCACCGCCTCCCTCACCGACGGGTCGGTGATCTCCGGGGTTAAAATCCCGGACCGGATATCGTTGCAGAGAGGGGCCCAGTGCTTCTCCAGGAAGCGGATTGCGCGGATGAAGCCGGAGGCGAAGACGGCGCCGACCCGGACCACTTCTTTGCGGAGGCAGAGGCCGCAGAGCATTTGGGAGTACATGCTCTGGTAGGAATCGGAGCAGAGAATGGTCTCGTTGGGGCTGGTGTAGTTGGTGTAAGGATCAGGGGTTCTGTTGGTGAAATGAGAGCTCTTATAGTACGAGGTTAAAACCGGGCGAGCCAGGAGGCCGCCGGGGGTCTTAGCCTCGGATTTCACGAACAAGAAATACATTCCTTTGCCTTTCTCCAGCCCGGGAAGAAATTGGCTCATAATCGGCATCTGAAGACTGTACAGCACTGATCTCCTCCCCATTTCGTCTGCAATTGTTGGCATCAGTTTCCTCTCCCCTCCTGACGTCCCAGAGCTGCATATAAGAGTAAACCAGTTACAACAAAACCATAAGACTATGACAATACAAATTGCCAAATTTTTGGGTATTTTTATTTGGGTACCTTGTTAAGAACTCGGTTATGGGGTGGGAACAGAGAATGGGGGATTTATCGCCATTGGCGATGCGGGTGATATCAGGTTGAATATCTTCGTAGGTGATGACGGGCATGGTTTTCTTGAAAGTGTCTCTGTCGGTATAACCAAAAAGGCCATGGCGCTGCAAGTACTCAACATGGGCATTTCTGGAGAGGATTTCAGCTAACACTTTCCTCTGGACCTCATCAGCGTTTGTGGTCACCTCTTCAATGAATTGAAGAGTCTTCCGGTTCTTCTCGCCATCGTTGTAGTCACTGACCTTTGGTGCTTCAGGCATGGTTGTTTTAGCGCTTTTACAGCTCTAGAGAGAGAGAGATATTTGATGGAGAAAAAGGCAGAGCTATGGTGAGATAGAGAAATATTTGCAGGAGAAAGATGAAGAAGAAGAAGATGGATTTTTGGGTGTGGGGGGAGAGAAGGAACGGATGGGCTTTATATAGAGTGACTGGAGATGCCTGTGGTCCAACTTTGGTCTGTTTAAAAGTGCAGATTAATAGTGCCATTTTTTTTCACTTTCTTTTTTCTTTTTTCCTTATCTTCTTCCTTTTTCGTGTTTCCATGGTTTAATTATCTATTGAAAAATGCAATCTTCACCAACACTTTTGCACTCAAAATAACACCCTTACGTGATTTCTTATAAGTGCCCTATAAATATTTTAATTTTTTTTTTTAACTTTTGGGTTTACAAACTTGGTTTCATTCTTATTATTGGTGTACAATTTTAAAAAAGTGACTATAGGTTCACAAGTTCTATTTTTTCTTAATTACTTTTGCTCTTTCTGGTGAGAAACCCATGAAATCAATCACACACAATTTTGTTACATAACTTACGAGTTATCAAGAGTTATAAATAAAATCACAAACTCTATAAAAGAATGTCATGTGAATTGATATTTTTACTCATAAACTTTGGTCACTTAAAAGTCGTGTGACAAAATTCAACGGAATTTCATTAGATTTCTTTTCTGAAGGACCAATAATGAGAAGAATAGATGTCATGCACCTATAGTGACAATTTTTATAATCGTTCCCAAATAATAAAAATAGCATGAAACTCATGAGACCAAAAGTAACAATAATTTATATATTTATTAATTTCAAAAAATCTAATATAGCACCTTAATATTAACATCATAAAAATGTAGTCTGATGGAATTTTTTAGATACTATAATTTTATTTTCATTATTTATAAAGAAAGGTTATCGTCTTTTTTTTTTTTTCTTTTGTTTGTAGTAGTCAATATTCTTTCTACTTTACATGGTAGAATTTTTTTTTAATAATTAATTACTATATTTAACGTATTGAGATTCCTAATTATTGTTTATCCATTGAAGTTGTTTGTTTTATTGGCCCAAAGTGAAAAGAGTACCCATCAGCTTTGGGAACTTTAGACTACAAATTAATGCAGCCTTATCCATTCCCCTTATTTCTTTTTACAGGGTAAAGTTAAGCATGTGTTAACATGTTCTTGGACGGTTCTTCTAGCAAAATATATATTATACGAACACAATTTTATAAATGAAAATGTACAATCAAGTTTTATTGTTTAACAATCTTATAATTGTTATTGGTATGATTTGGTTAATACTATTATAAATTAATTTAATAAAATCATGTTTAAAAAGTAAAATTATGTGAACTTTTTTATTTGTATTTTAAGTTTTTAACATTAATCATCTTGATCAATATTGTAGCTGTCATTTCAATAGTATAAGTCTAAACTTGTAAATTTTATCCTCAACTTTTTAAGAAAAGAAAAGTACTACAAGACACTTTAGATTTTAATATTGCTTTATGAATAGAGCAACATTTTTTGTTAATAAAGGAGCATTAAAAGTCTCCCATATAAATAAGAAACATATTAGCAGAGTTTACTCCGTGCATGCTCTCGAATAGTAATTGTGAATTTTTCTCTCCAAAAAGAAAATTATTATTTAGATCAAATTTTGTAGTAAACATGTTATTTAATGATAAGATATGTAATGACTTTATATTAATTAGTTATGAATTGATTATATAAAGTTAAAATTTAGCAAAAAGTTTTCTTTTAAAGGTCTTCCTTTTACCATTGGCTTAATTAGTACTCAGCTCCAATAATTTAATGACAGATGAACCCTATAGAATCATATCACATAATCTTTTGCTTGTCTTAATGTTTTAGCTTGCAATACAATTGTGGTAAAATTTATATTGAGAGGATGATTTGGTAATTGCACACTCTCATATCTAATTCAGAACACTTTTGGTTTAATCCGAAGTAGTCAACGTAAGATAGCCAAATAGTATCAATAGGAGCTAAACAGAGAACAAGTAGATAGGCTCTGTTTGATAAACCTAACTGAAAAGCTATAAGCTAGGAGTTGAAAGTTGAAAAAGAGCTGAAAGCTGAAAAGCTATAAGTTTGGAGCTGAAAACTGAAGAGTTGTTAAGCTAGCTGTTATGATTGAAAGTATTTAGTAAAATTAATTTTTTTGATAAGTTGATAAATGTAAAAAGACTAAAAAGGACATCATCATAAAATTTAAATTAATTTGTTTACCTATTAAAATTTAACATTTTGTCTTAAAAAAAAATTAACATTTTGAAATAAAACTATTAGAATAATCATGATCTAGTATCTCATAATGAAGTAGCAATATTGTTGCAAATCTCATAATAATAATAATAATAATAATAATAATAATAATAATAATAATAATAATAATAATAATAATAATAATATTTGCTATGAAAGTTGCGGATAAAGGAGATCAGAAGAGTAAATAGTTTTAATTGAGAAGAGTAAATTATGTCATTTCTTTAAAATAATAAGGATAAAGATGAAAAAAAAAAAAAAAAAAAAGAGGTTAGGAAGCTAGGAGCTTTTTTGAAACGCTACCTTAGATAGCATTCCAAAATAAACTCTTATTTTAAGCTATGAGCTTGTTTTGGGAACATTACCAAACAGAGTTTATAACTTATTAGTAGCTTAAAATAAGCTATAAACTCCTAAATAAGCTCTGTCAAACAGAGCCGTAGAACCGTTGCACTTAACGCAGAGCTTATGCACTTATTATGGAAAATGTTGCACTTATTAGGGGCATTGGGTTTGGAGCCATTGCATTTATTAGATAAGATTAATTACAGATTAGTCACTATAAATACTTAATAGGCAATGGACAAGCAAAATCTTGTACTCAGAACTATCAGTAATACCATCACCCAACTACTTTGTATGCTCACTCTGCTTACTATGCTCATAATTACTTTCCGGTAACATTCTAAGTGTCACATGTACCAACAAACATATTGATGTTTATTGTTTATCATCAATAATCAAATAAAGACCCATTGCACCCAAAATCATACACATGCTGAAAATTATGAAATTTTCGACCACCTGAAAGTGATCTTAAATCAAGTCGAAAGTCTTGTTCCGACCATTTTTGGTATCCGAAAAAACCTTTGTTGCTATTTCCGACCACTTTTTGCTTTCAACTTGATTTAAAATCACTTTCAAGTGGTCGGAAATTTCATAATTTCCAGCAGTGATATTGACCTTCTTGGTCTGAGTTGATTAGCTATTAGCAACTTAAATTTATTTATCTTATTGTGGTCATTTGTCAATTAGAATCGTGAGGTATAATTTACCGTAATTACAAGTACAATTTGTTTGGGAATAGCAGTGCAATTGCATACGGAAAGTGTGGAGTACGTACGGAATGAGGCAGCCCGGCGCCGGCGCCGTGTCGAATATAAACTCATCTTTTCAGGTGGACTTTACAGCTAGCTACTTCCAATGTTGCTGCAGAAACGTACAAGGATACCAAATTGTTTTGAATTTTGAAGGGTAAAAATGTGTTTGGTGAAATTAATTATTCCTAGTTAACATGGAAAATAAAACTTAATTATAGTTTACTATTTATTTATTTAAATATTTTAAAGATAATTTTAATTATAAACATCAATTGCATATTGTTTTATTATTCCGTATTAGTTTAGGGTGTCTTTGAAAAACATGAAAATGACTTCTGGAAAATGAGTTATTTTTCATAAAATATTTTTTGTTCTAGTGTTTGGTTGCATTCAGAAAACTGTCTTGTTGTGTTTGGTTCATTTTTTAGAAAATGAGTATAATTATTTTTAATTTTAAATAATTAAAATATACAATGATGATGGTGGTGGTGATGGTGGTGGCAGCAGTTGGTGATTGGCTGCTCCATTGTTGCAAACAGAAAATGACTTCCCAAGGGGAAGTCATTTTCTGAAAAATCACATCTATTTTTCATTGACCACACCCCTATTTTTCATTGACTTTCATTTCCCCCCTCTAGCCAAACACTGAGAACCCAGAAAATGATTTCTAGCAGAAATTATTTTTCGAGTTTCCAAACGCACCCTTATTATTTAAATATCAATTGCATAACTAATGGTAATATTAGATTCCACCTAAGGAATCATAAAGTTATCATTTTATGATATAATTTTCAATGAGGTTCACTTTTGATTTGGGTCGGATCAAAGTAAATTTGAGTTCTCTTAAATGAAATGATGAATTTAATATATTATACTTTCAAAATAGATAATAATTGAGAAATTGATTATCAAAGTGTACTTATTTGAGAAAAATGGAGTTGGGAAGAAAATACCATTTATGGTATACTATATAGTTGTGTAATTACATAAATAGATTTTATTTTTTTTATGATCAGCAAAACCTGCAGTTATTATCCGATTGTGTTTACTCTCATGTGTACATAAATAGATGTTATATCTTATTATTTATACGAAAAATAATTTTTAAATTTTAAATTAAATAATTGTCAAGGGTAACAAGAGAAATGAAATAACAATTAAATATTCCAGATATATATTATAGATGGAAAGCAAGGGAGACAAATGACACTAATGCAAATCTTTGAACATTGACTTTCTCATATAGATATTTTTGTTTATGCAATTCATATACGATTTCACTTACACACCACTCAAAGGACAGGCTTCTTAGTCTCTCATTTCTATTACAAAATTTAAAATATTATGACGATATATTTTATGCTGCATTTATTATCAACAATTTTTGTTGCAAAATTATTAGATAAATCAATTTTTTTAATGCCCAGAAGGCCGGAGGTGATTAAAGAGAATGCTACCTATTGAGCGGGAATGAAATGATGTGTATTTCTTTTAACTTAACTAGAAGTTTCATATTCGAGTCCTAGAAATACAACTATCCTAAAACTAATAAGGGAGTACTTTGCAATAATAATTTGAGACCTTACCCGTTATGAACAAGATTAGTCTCGATGTGTTAGAAAAAAAAGTGTTTATTGGAGGCAACATAATTATATTTAGTTGTGCGCACCCGCATTTGACCAAATCTATTGAGCCATTGAATCACCGTGATTTAAATCATCCCAAATGTTTTGTCGGGCCGGAATATGAGGACATCTTGGGGTTGAGGTTTTAACTTTTTGGGATGAGAAGAATTATATTTAGTTGGAAATGAGTTCTTTTTAATTAAAAAAAATGATTTACAAAAATCAATGTGGTGGTCAATGGTTTTACCAGATCTGATCTTAATTACTCCACCTCCTATCTTCCCCTCTCACAAATAACATAACTTTAAACACATTTTTATAATCTTATACGCTGTATATATTATTTGATACGGTTAAGTGTTTCAATTTTTCATATTTATTGTATATTACTGAATTAATTTACTTCCTTTTCAATTAGTTATAGTATAATATTTATGTGGTGTTTGACAATTATTAATAGTGAATTATGTAATAGGTTGATAGTTGATCCTATATTATATTTATTAATAGTTTATAAAGAAGTCTTTGTTATGAGTTATTGTCATTTTTTCTCCTAAATTTTTCAAGGAGCCATTCAATCTCCCATCTTGAAAATCTTATTCAGGCCGGTAGTATAGCCTTTCAACTTTTAGCGAATTGATGAATATTCGAGAAGTCAATTTGACATGTATATATGTACTAGCATTTTGTACGCGCGATGCGCGAAAATCTATGCCCAATATTAAAATATTGTAAAGTTAAAGTGATGATACTTTTGAATTATCATATATTTGAATATAGTGATCAAAACAATATATATATATATATGATATATTGATATGTATACACAAATAATATATATACATATTATTTATAATTAAAATTTAATATTCATATAAATATTTAATTAAAATCAGGGTTGCAAAAATCCCGCCTAGGCACCGAGTAATCGCCGCCTAGGCGCTAGGCGCCCCTAAGCCGTGGCGATTTCCCCCCTAGGCTCCCGCCTAGGAGACCAGCCGCCTAGGCGCCCGCCTAGCGCCTAACTCGGCCGCCTAGCGCCTAACTCGGCCGATTACGCCGAGTTTACTCGTCAATTTTTGTCGAGTTAGCCGAGTTAACCCGGCCGACTTGACCTTGCTAATTTTTTTCATTTATATATATATAATTTTTTTTTGGAAAACCATAGTTTTGATGTTATGACTTATGAATTATCATTAATTCATTTATTTGGATGTGTTATTTGAATAAATGTTGAAAACAACCTCATTAAAATTGTCAAACTGCAAGTCTACCACTGTTTTTTTGGCGCCCGCCTAGCGCCGCCTAGATTCCGCCTAAGCGCCGCCTAGACCGCTTAGGCGCTAGGCGCTGCCCGGGCGCCCGACTAGCGCCTAGCGCCTACTGCAACCATGATTAAAATATAATTTATAATTAAATTAATTGTTATATGATAATTTTAATAAAAGGATAACTAAAAATAGAAAAAAGATATGATAGATGTAGGTGTATGGTAAGATTGGTGGACATATTAAATACTAACGGTGTTATAACGGTGTAAGGGTAATTTTGTCCAATACAAATCAAATGTACAACAATTAAAGCAAGATGTATATATTTATTAGCATATAAAAAAAGGACAAAAATCAAGGACATAACTTATATTGACACTTATTATGTTTTTAGATATATCAAAAATTTGTTTTAGAAATTTGGACAAGGTAAGTCAAACCATTAAAGTTGACAGAATTCATTAAAAATTAGCGGATTCACCATTTACGAAATACCCTTTAATATGAGAATCAATTACGCCAAAATTTATAACTACTGGCGAATTCGTAATTTTAATTTATTTTCTTCGAATGTGTAATTTTATATCTTTATACTTGCATAGTAATGCTAACGCCACGTTTTAAGTGACAATTTTTTTTTTATTTTTTATTTTTTGGATCAGACCATGAGGTGTTCTGAGCAGACCGTAACGGTAGGGGGTACCTTTAATCGTTTTAAGTGACAATTAAGATTCTGAACTTACTGTCCACGTTTTCACAATAATGTCCCTATGTAAATTTGACTAAGAAAGTTTAGCAAGTATCAAACTCATTATTCAAAAACGAGAATTATATTTCATACACTCAACCATTCCTTGCAAATCTTTATATGCACAAGATCTTACCCTTGGAATGCCTAGAGGGATCACTGCTGATATATAATATGTATATATTTATATATTTAAGGGGACAGCTTAAAAGAAGCAGAGGCATATTTTAGGGTAGCTAATCTAGCTTACTTTTGAGAAACAAGTAATTAATCAGGTCATTAAGAGACCAATGATGTGGTCCCTAATATTTATGTTTCCATTCGGGTGTATCATGAACATTAGAATAATAATAACATCAAATTAGTGGGACAAATAGTGTTTCATGATTTAAAAAATAAAAAATAAAAATTATGCAGTACCTACGTAATCGCTACATCGGATCCTGCTGCTTAAATATGACATTCTTTAGTACATGTTAAGAATATGGTTAATCTCGAAAAAGCTTGTTGATTAGACTTCACTCCCATTGGATAATGGCCTCTGAAGATTGATGATTCAGATCTATGGCAATAAGCTAATCTTCATGATCACATGCAGAGTCAGGTGGGAATGTCTTTTTTTTTTTTTCTAATTTCTGTTTAATTGACGATTTTTTTTAAAGGTCCTTTTGGATGTTGTTTACGTTACTTTGTAGTTAGTACTACTAGTAGTTCTCGTCTTTTCATGACAAATCCATAATAACGTACATGGAATAATAATATAATGTAGTGAAATTAATACTTTCTATATTTAATTTATAACGTATTTTTTTTTATGATGAAGAAAACTACCGTTATTATTCGAGAGTGTATAACACTATAATGTATAAATTCTTCTTTTGTATAATAGTCTATAAGACTGCAAATCACAGTGCGAGAATCATGTTCTACTCACTTGGTCACCCTTTTAAGGTTTGATATATGATTTTATTAGAAGTATAAATTAATAGCAAGTCCATGCTCTTACCATTATCCAAAAGTTATAACAAGTAGTAAATGTACAATTTTATTTTTTATACTTGTATAATAATCAGTGTCACATTACGAGGGTAGGATGCTAGACTCATCCCGCCTACCCCAACAATTAATATCTCATTAAAAAGATTAAACTATTCGAATCAAACGCCCTTTAAAAGTAATAAAATCTTTATTACACTTAATCTTTTGGTCAAAATGCATGTAAAGTTTTACCCTAAATATGATACTTTTAAATTAAAACCTATTTTCAAAATAGGGGTGCTTTTAAACTTATTTACCAAACTTTTAGTCTCGTCATTGTCATCTCATCTGCTATTTTTTGGTTTTTATTGTCACATTATACACCTTATAACTAAATTTGAAAAAAAAAATAGTATATGTGTAATATTGTATTATTATTATTATGTGCAATTTAATTGATGTATATATACGTTTTGAGTCGGTGTTATTCTCTATATAGACACTTTGAATCTATGTACATAAAGTTTATTTGTAGATTAGTGAATGTACTAATTCATACTATAATTCGAGCAGCAAATACTTAGTTTGGTCCACTAATTTTATTCTGACTATCCCTTCATATATTGGACATTTAATTTCAGTTAATTAATACTACCCTTCGTGTTTTTGTTCAAAATGCATTTTTTTTTTCACATCGTTTGTACTAAACATTTATTGACAATAACAATTAATAAAGTGAGTAGCAAATTAAAGGCAAAGAATAATCAAGTTGGCCAAATATAATACTAATTGTTGCATGAAAAGCATACTCTTCTCCATATGACTAAGTATCGAACTTGGGAGCATTATGCAAACAAAAATTGAAGTACATGTGATTCAACTTATTTTAATGACACAAACGACAAACGACTTCGAAAGCACTGTCGTCTGAGGTTTTCCTTAGCCATGACCAAGTGTTGTCATTCCTTCACTTTGTGACAAATCTAATATTCTATCAAAATGTGGTAGCTAACTGTTAAAAGTATAAAAGAATAAAATTGTATCTCTACTATTAACTATAATCTTTAGCACATGAGTAAACCCTTGATACTAAATTGAACAGTGCTGAAAATGTTTATTTTTTTTGACTATTTTTCCGACCACCAACAAAAATGCTCGGAAAATATGACATTTTTTAAATTTTTTGTCCAAATTTTTAAGACGACATAACGAATAAGCGAAGAGAGTTTTTTCGGATACCCTAAGTGGTCGGAACTAGTGTTTCCGACCTAAAATTAGTCATTTCCGACCACTTTTCGGTGGTCGGAAAATTGCAAATTTCCAGCCATGGAACATGCTGTTTAGGTTGAGAGGTGTTGGACAAAGGCTTAAAAAGTCAAATCCAGCATCCTGACACAATTTTCCATGAAGATAAATTCAAACAATGAATCCCAGACGCGATCCGAATTATTAGTGAAGTCATCATTTGAAGAATGTGTTCTATCTCAACTTGAAAACAATAAGATTGTACATTTATATTTTATATATTGGGGGTGTTTGGCAAATAGCTGATAGCGGTTAGCGGATTGAGTTAGCGGGTTTGACTATCTGATAGCATTAGTTGGTTATAGAATGATGTTTGATAAATTAGTTGTTAACTGATAGTTTTTATTTTGTCAGATCATGAAGTGTCTTGAGCAAACCCTAACTGTAAGAGGCATCTTTAAGCCCATACCATATTCAGACTAATCCCCAATCCCACCGGACCAACCCAATTTAGAGGCAAAGTGCTGACCATACGTACTGGTTTTTCCATACAAGAGGAGCTGGATTCCCGACCTCTCTTAAAGAATGAGAGTGCACAGGCACTCACGCCAACCAAGCTGATAGTTGATTATATGAAAAATGACCTTTAAGGATATAATTTATTTTTTTCTCAACAAGTTGCTTTGAGCAGTTTTTTGAATTTTTGCGTTTTGAAGCAATAAGCTGTCAAAAAAAAAAAAAAAAAAAAAAACAGATTAACCAAACACTCATAGATGATTTAACTAAGTCAAACAGCTAATGGTGGTCAAACAAATCAAAATTGACTGATAAAATAACTAGGTTACCAAACACGCCGGGCTTTATATACTAAAACATAGCCTCTTGATATTAAGAGTTTGAGACCTCATTGCCCGCATGGACAGCACAACTGGTCATAGAGGTGAAAGTTGGAAAGAATGACCATGAATCGAGTCTCACCAACAGTAGTGTGGGAGCAATATCTCAAAGTGAGGCAAAGGTCTAGCCTATGTGGTTCATGTTCAGTTGAGTTACCATGATTTACATCCTCCCAGATGTTCTATCAGGTCGCATGGACAACTCAATTGGTCATAGAGGTGAAAGTTGGAAAGAATGACCAGGGATCGAGTCTTACCAGTAGCAGTGTGAGGCAAAAGTCTAGCCTCTGTGGTTCATGTTCAGTTGAGTTATCATGATTTACATCCTCCTAGGAGTTCAACCTTTTTTAGAAAGAAGAATTTTAGACCTCTTCATGTGAGAGTTAGTATTTCACTTTAAAATTAACGATTAATATGCAAATAATGGGTATAGTTAGGAATTGAAGCCGAAGCGGCTTCCACATATTATTATGTTAATTTTATTTTATATATTTATTGCGTAATACACTATGATGAAAATGTGATAGTAAATAGCTTATAGATAACAGAT